CAAAATACGAGCTTTGCACGTCCGTTAGCTGATCTATGTATTATGACATCCTGTAGACATTATATTGCTGTAACTCAAGGTCAAATCTTGAGGGATGTTTCCAAAACTAACAGACGGCTTTGGCTGAAAGTGATAAACTATATAAGGAAGTTCCTGGATTTCACTCGGTGTTCAGGCCATTTATTCTTTGCTATGAACCTGCGCAAATAAACTTTTCCTTCTCTGAAGAGCTGGCTTGTGTGTCCCGTCATTTCCTACAACAGCGGGGAGCAATTTGATGGTCCACCAAGCCAACCACTGAATGGAAATTGATGGAATGTAAAGGGACTGATGAAATTGATGGGATGGAATTGACCTCTTATCATTTGGCATTGAAATCAACTAAACAGTTGACAGACATTCGGTGTGATGAGTTGGACTCAATGATTGACAAGTCGTATTCAAGGATGTGGCCAGTTGGCCTCTTATAGCTACAGTAGAACATCTGGCCACCGATGCTCCTGTCTACTATTTTAAATGTCCAATATACCTAATGATAAATTCACTATGATGGATTTTCACTGGGATTTCGAGGGAATTTCTTTCATACCTTTGGCAAATGATGGGTCTGAACCCCAGGCTCCCTTGACTGTGTTCAACCATCTTGGGAGCCCCTGTGGTTCCGCTGGTGAAATAAACCAACATGGGATCATTCATCTTGGTTTTCACACAAGTATGATTGGCAGGTGCCTCTCTGTAATAAATAACATCCCAGCAAACATGTGAAACATTAGAAAGACAGACGATGGATGCAGTCACATTCAACCCCTCCATATGATGATAATACAATACAATACAATAGCAGAGTTGAAAGGGATCTTGGAGGTCTTCTAGTCCAACCCCCTGCCTAGGTAGGAAACCCTATACCGGACCACTAATAGGATCTGCCAAATGACCGGCTGGGCGGGAGTGGCTAGGTGGTCATGTGACTGGGCGGGTGTGGCCAACTGAATGTCACTCATGTCAAGGGGCGAATCACCAGCCTCTTCCGCCCCCTCCCAGCCACTCCTCGCCTGCCTGCCTGGGGTCCTCAGGGCCCCAACAGGAAGCAGTTGCTGGAGCTAAGTAGCCACCAGGAGAAAGAGTTGGCAAAACAGCTCAGTTCAAATTGGATCTGGCCGAGAAGGAGGCTCAGCAGAAGCNATGTGTTCTGTTGATGTGCTTATGTGTATAAAATAAAAAAGACTGTATTACTATTATTCTTCTCTTCTTTCCTAGTACCTATCTATTTCCACTTCTTACTATAACTATGTTGCTTGTACCTTTGAAATTTATTTTGTTTTATTTGTTTCCTAGTATAATTTGATTGCTTTTTAGTAACCTATGGGTTATGACTAAGTGTTATATCTTATGATTCTTGATGAATATATTATGATGAATATATTATTTCTTTATGTACACTGAGAGCATCTGCACCAAAGACAAATTCCTTGTGTGTCCAATAACACTTGGCCAATAAAGAATTCTAATGTTTTAATGTTCTAAATTATAATTTTATAAATTTATACTTTATTTACACGAGTACACTTTTTATACTCGTAGATTTATAATTGTATAATCTTTAAAAAAATTAATTTTAAATTTCAGTTTTAACATTTTCACTCTTATGTACTTTTTAATATTTTGATACTGTACTGTGTACCACCCAGAGCCCCTCTTTGAGGAGGATGGGGGAGTGGGTGTCCAGCATTGCAAAATATCAATAAATACATAATGAGGCATATAGTATCAAGCAACGCATCAAGAATGGAGCTAGGTTAGAACTTGATAAATATTCTTCAAATATTGGTTGTGAATTACGTAGGATTGTTATATGCGATAGGCACAGAGATGGTGTTCAGCGAGTTCTGAGAGGTTCTGCAGAACCAGTAGCGGAAATTTTGAATAGTTTGGAGAACCGGCAAATAGGCTGGCCACGCCCCTGCTGCCTCCCTGCCTCCCAGCTGATCTTCTTTTGTTGCCCTGAGCAGGAGAACGGAGCTGGAAAGCAGGTTCGTGGGGTGGGGAGGGAATGCGGATTTTGCAGCATCCTTCCCCTGCCACGCCCACAAAGCCACGCCCACAAAGCCATGCCCACAGAACCAGTAATGTTAAGTCTATCCCCATTAGGAGACTAGAGTTGTGCAGCAGAGGTTAGTAACAAATAAGTCACTGAATAGTAACTCACAGCCACTGAAGGTAAAACAAAGAATATCTTGTGGAACAAAAATAGAATAGACTATAATCAGCCTTGTAGTATATAAAACAGTCTCTATTTACAATACGTTGAAGTTACAGTTGCTCAACTCACAATTCACCATGTAGACAGGTAATTAACATACAGACTAGCCACCATTCAATACACGGTCTTCTCTCCCAATACTCAGCACATACAGTAACAGCAGTGGTGGGTTTCAAAAAATTTTCGAACCTACTCTGTGGGTGTGGCCTCCTTTGTGGGAGT